TGGGGAGGGGGAAGGGGAGGGTGGGAAGCTGAATTGATTCGACGAAATGGGCAAAACTACCTAAATAATATAGGTAGGTAAGTATCTAGGTAGGTTTGGTGTATATAATAAAAATATCTAACCTAAGTATCTATATAGTAGTATCGTAGGGAGGCACCATATAAAATCCGCTGAACGAAAGGCAGCAGCGGCTTTTCGAGTTATATCTAAACGGGCCGTAGAGAGATTGGAAGTCAACCCAGACCGGCTGTTTAAGTGCAGTAGGTTAGGTTAGTACCTATCAATTACTCTTCATTCCAGTGACATCAATATGATAATACGTAGCGTGCAATACTACTAGTATTTGAAACTTCTCTAGGTGAACTAATCCGGCCAAGACTTTTATCTCTCTCTCTCTCCTAGGTTAGGTTAGTCAGGAACCAAACTGCTTAGACCAACCAGCACGACTACCTAATCCATACCTAGGTACCAACTTTTTCGTTTTCCTTTTTCTTCCTTTCCCCATTGGGGGGCTTGTCGCTCTCCCTTCCTTCCCACCACTTCCTCTCCTCCCCCACGTCCCGTTAGCCGTGACAGATATGGACCAAGCCCCGGTTTCCAGACCGGGACCCGAGAGTCCGGCCAAATGGAACAGCACCACGGGACTTGAACTTCCAAGACCTGCAGTGGTGGGGTTGCCCCTGCTTCCTCCCCTCCCCTCCCCTTCTCTCCCTCCCCCCCTGGACGTTTTCATAACCCTGCTGCTACATACTACATGCAGAACACTGCAGGAGGATAAAAATAGTAGGGTAGTACCTACACCACCTACCTACCTACCTATATATTCAGCTTTATTCTTTTTTTTTCCCTCTCCTGCCACCCCTCCCCCCGTCCCCTCCCCCCGTCCCCTCCCCTTCCGATGAGGGGTGTCGATCCCCGTTCGTGCATTAATTTTGACACTTTCGCGTGTGTTTATCAGTATCGAGTAATAAGCCTGAGAATATTTTCTATAGCGAAGCCCTCTTTCGGCTTCGCAGTTGGTGTAAAAAAAGTAACGGGGTTAAATTTTTTTTTTTTTAAATCTACCCGTGCCAAGAAGATCATGAATGAAAAAAACTTTTTCAAAACAGGGCAATTTAGTATATAGTAGGCCAACGTCAGGTTAGCTAGCTACGTAGGTAGGTAGGGGGCCTGATCCTACACACCTGACCTAGAAAATTTCCAGAAAAGCTGTGCGCGGCTCTTTGGATCGGTCGAATTACGGGCAGATATTCTACCGGATGGTGTGTCTATTGCGATAGGTAGGTACCTACCTCCAAAGGAAACCTGATGGTAGTGTCAACGTGGAGGTCTCAACATTGGAGGCTGGAGATGCGTAGGATGATTTCATGTTGTGTAGGTAGGTAGGTAGGTACACGAGGGAGTTTTGCTAAGAGGTAAGTTTAGTAGCTTGGCAGCTTGGACTGAGATAGTCAGATGAGTTCCTTGAATCGTAACATCGATTGGGCCTTTGGAGTTGGCGGTTGCTCTCTTGCCGTCGTGGGTGACTTGAGGTCTTTCCAGTTACTTCATTACATCATGTGACGGCATTTCGTTACCATAATTGATGGCTGGTAAAAGAAAACGGTGGCGCTTGGAGATTGTGCGGGTTTGAACCGAGTCAGCAACCTACTATGCCTATGCATGTATTGATAAAGAACTCAATGTATCCGGTCGTGATGGACTAACTGTCTATAGCTAATGCCGCTTCACTTCTGTCCACGTTTAACAAACTCGACAAACCTGGCGTAGGTCAATATTGTAAATGATACTATGTTCTTTTGTATCCCTCGCTCAATGTTGGTAGTACTATTAGAGGTTGAAGGTTTCCCATGTCAAATTTGTGCAAAACTACAACCAGTCATCTGCTGTATTTTCTTGGTGTTCTCATGGAGTCATGGGCCCTTTTAGCCTCTGGGTTCTGATAGCGAAATGTCTTCCTTAGGTAGTTGAATTTATTATATACATTCGTGACAGTATACCCCTTTGCTTCTGACAACTGTACCCTACTAACCTCCTTCTTCTTTCATGCCCGTAAAGAATACCCTTCTTTGTATTGGGAATATAGCTATTCGAGGTGTTTGTAACCTTTGCCAGGGAATAGATATAGCCATCTACTTAACTAACTGTAAAGTGTGGCAACGGTATGTCAAGGTTGTAAGGCAAGATCTGAGATCAGGAAAAGATGCCATCCGATCAAGAGTTTCCCAACACGTACATAACCTGATCTTAGTAGATTCCAGACCTCTGAATCTACAAGATCGATCGGTGCCCTGGGAAGACGTAATATCGAAGTCAGTGGACCTCTCTAATAGTATTAACATCCGCAGAGTAACAGAAAAAACCCCTTTTATGCTTCAGGTTGGGCTCAGGAGAAGTAGTTCCTTTTTGGTTATCCAAGATGTCTAGCTAAGCAGAGTACTGGATTTATTAGACCAGGTATCCGAGGTATAGGGTAAAGTAGATGTCATAGAATAAAATGAAAACGAGGGACTTAGTTTACGATATTGGCCTTTCTTCCGCCAGTCAGAGTAAAGAGAAGCCTATTGTCACGACATGCTCCTTAGACGGGGGTAAAAGATAGTTGTACGCACCGCGAGACAAATATCAAGCAATAGATCACTGTTGGCCGGTGACTTCTAGACTTCCAGGTTCAACCTTTTGCAGCTTTCTCGCTCCTATACACATATGATTCATAGCTTACCCAAGAACAATATTACCTTCTAGAGAGAAGCATACATACTTGAAAAGAAAGCAGCCCTGCTATTGGCAGTTCGAATGAATCGAGTAGGTAGTAGATAGCTTACTGGACCAATATGGTCTTTCGGTGATTGGAACTGCATAAAAATGCGTGAGAAATTAGAATTGGAGTGTAATGATGTCCCTCTAGGACACAGGTCTCTGTTGTGGCACGAGATACATCTTTACTCGATGTTGCTTCACTGTAGTCTAGTTATATGACACTATCCACCGAAAGGGGATTGATAGTATGGAACAGGGCGTGGACATGCTTTCGCACTATTGCACATTAGCAAGTTATATATGATCCGAAGTTGGGAAATATCTGAAGAGGACATGATAACTTGTGGTCACTGCAATCTATCGCTTATACTAAAGGGAATACCTATCAACGAAGGTTTTGCCATCTTGGTCTATCAATCAGACTATGTATCTGACTACTACGAGTTTGAGTCGTGTTTACTATACTATAAAAAGATATATATATTCATTACGACTTTTCCCAGCCACTGCTAGGTGCGCTCTTTCAGTTCACATGGTAATCCTCAAATTGTATGATCTTATGGCCGTCCATGTGGGCTGGTTCATATCCTTCAGCTGCTGGTGGAAGGGCTCTCGGAAGTGTGGAGGGATCACGGTCTACATACGGATTTGAAGTGTCTAAGAATTAGCAACAAATTCTCTAAAGCGGCGAAAATCTGGATTATATGTGCGTAGCTTGCCTGTACCCATTTAACCATGTCGTGCTTTTTTCATGAGGGAGATGGCCTGCGGGAGGTAGGATTTTGTGACCTATTCGATAAAGTCTTCATAGAAGAACCATCTTTCTTGTATAAACAGACCGAGGATTTGATAGACTCAGGCGGGGAGGCCATTGTGGCTTGAGTAGAGGATTGCTGTATGATTAATTATGTGTGCTTTGGAAACGCAAGTCGTCTTGTGGACTATATACCTGTTATCAGTCCTCATCTTCACTCATGCAGAGGGGGGGGATACACGCATCCGAATCACAAATCACTAAACAGTCACGTCATATTTCTATTCTATTTAGGATCAGAAGATACGAAATCTATCGTATTATACTTCTTAGGCGAAGAGAAGGAAGAGTTACCAACCTTGCTTAGTTACAGCATAGCATATATCCTAGATCCTAGTAGCTTCGCTCTAACTAGGCGATTTAGCGATGGTCTTCTATAAGTTTGAAGGACAAACCGGAATGAAAGCGAGGATAAAAAGATAGTAGTCTCTTTAGATATATATAAAAGTGACCCATCATGATGAAGCTTGGTCTTCATATGTTTCTATACACTAACAAACCCCCTTTCCTTAACTGGACTGGCTGGATAGTGCCCAGCACCATGGACTTGGAGTTTGGAAGAAGCATTTACTATGCGCTAACATATTCGACTTGCCATACTGAACACCGAATTGCATCTTCGCAGGTGCCTCCATAAAGTGTATATGGAATTGGGGTCTCATCGGTAATGGCCCCGCTCAGGTCTTAATCAGTAGACACAGCGTGGGTAACCACATGCGCATCGCCTCGGGCTGTTCAATTAGGTGCCTATTGCCTCATTATAGAAGAGACCCTGAGATAAGACAGTTGCTATTTAGTTGTGAGATTTATCTATGTGACTTAGGTAAGAGGCCTGAAATGGACTACGAGTTGCAACAACTCTCGCTCTCAAGTGACAACGTCTTCACTCCAGCTGGAGGTCGCAATCCACGCGGGGAACGCATCTGAGATCCACACTCGGGGGTTAGACGGGAATAACGGGAATTGGCATCAGTGGCGGGCGTTCACGAGTAACTACCTGGCACTACCTACTCCATTGGATTGTCGCGATGATAGAGCGCGCATACTTACGGAGAACAATTGATGTTGAACCACCTAAGGCAATGCCGTGCGCAAAAGAACCATCTCAAAATATTCGTGCGAAAAAAAATGGAACAGCGAAAACGGGGTTTTTTTTTTGTGGGGGGGGTTTAAATAAAAGAGGCTCATGTGTATAGGCTTTCTAGTGTTGGACCCGTGGTTGAGAAAATGACCTGTTTTCAATGTCTTGATAATTGCTTTGAATGAATTCCAAGGGGGTCGAATTAAAATGCGCCCTCATTGTATTTAGGTAAGGTCTCCTCTTAGGTTAAGTGTATTTAGCTACGGATGTTGGTATATAATGGTAATTAAAGATCAAACTGTCACAAATTGGAACTAGCTGATCAATCAGCATTAATAGCACCAAGGCACGATGACGGAGTGGTTAACGTGCCAGGCTGCTAACCTGGTTCCTTCGGGAGCGCAAGTTCGAATCTTGCTCGTGTCGCTCAAATTTTTTTTTTCATTTCTAATTTTTTCCCTCTTCCTCTTTTCGAAGTCCCCACCTTTCCACTTTTTAATTGACTTAGCAAATACCTACAGCGTACCTTTTTGTGGGAGAGGCTTTACCATATATTCGAAATTCCCTACGTCTCATATGCCCTTGGTCCTCTTCAATTCAAGATTATGTTTGGTAAAACTACCAACACCACAATTAGTAGTTATGTGACACGGCCAGCTTTTACTCGTGGTAAAAACGTTATCAAATACATAGAAATATGACTGATCTGGCTTCCCAAATTTAGGTATTGAGGAGTATGTATATGCTTGACGGCAACAAACAGTATCATACTTAGGTATCAGGTCTGTTCTCATGATTCACAGGCTGGTGGCACTGTTGGAAGCAATACCTAATGGCATAGATATCTAAGCAACTAAGTAAACTGTTCCAGTTCCCTTAATTACCACAACACTACTTACATTATCGCCCTCTTAGTGAGGGCTGGAGAGTACCGTAACTTGCCATGTGTTCTCATACACCACCTAACAGTACCCAGAGCCCCGGATACGTCCGAAAGCGTCGCTGAAGGTTTATTCTACAAAGCCCTTATTACAGTTAGCATCAGGAATGCCGGGCCCCAACAGCATGCAGTATCACGATAAAGAGACTGGCGTACACTAAGAGTTTAGACTTTAGACCGGGGGAGGCTGGTGCTAGCGGATCTGTATGTAGTGTCAGACATCGCAAATCCTGTACCTATTTATCAGATGAACCGGAATGTATATGCTGGGAAACATCAGTCTCGAGCCATCGAAGTAGTGGTTTCCAAGGATGTTTAGGTGTGTAAGGTTACCTGCCATGCGTCGGGGACATCGTCGCGTGAGGTTCTTCCTGCTCTAAATCGCATAAACCATGAAACAATATATGGCTTGGACTACACCACTGATTCATCGCGATAACGGCAAAATAAAAAGGAGCACAGTATGGCCTACTTACAACTGATATCAACCATCTCTGAGGGTAAGTACCTCTACCTAAGTGTACGAATATTATTTTGGGACAGTAGTGAGAACCTTCTTGAACAGCACATCGTGTAATGCATCGAAATAAAACATGTTTATTACAATATATGGGTATCGTTCGCGCTGCTACTACCATGATTATATCTCGGCCATATCCAGGTTCCTGCACCTATTGATGTGGCTAATGAGTGGACGTCGTTACTCAATCCTAACCCCTATTTCCTTACCCACCTAGCACGATGTCGATTCAACGAACAGACCCTTTTATCTCATCTACCATTTATACGGACATCCGAGGCTGGTATCGAATGCACCTCCCAATCAGTTGTCACACTGATATGACCTGTCCCGTCGCTGGCATTGTGTCTATTATAGGATGCTAATAACGAATTCATCAGCAAGCACGCTTGATTCGAAGATGATGCAAATGGTGGAAGTGTAGAAAGAGGGATAACACATTATCCTGCATTACACAAATGAAATACACTGTCAGCTACCGGAGTTCACTAACCATTCATATTGACAAGGGGCAGCTCTGGTTCATTCAACCTCTGGAATTTATTGCTGCTGCTTCCCGTATTATCCGACTTCTTCATGGTGCTTGATAATAGAGAAGAGTGGAATATCCTCTTGAAAGCTGGGGCGAGAACCGGCAGGTTTGCATTAAGGATGCCGAGAAGCGGCACAAGCGAGGAAAGGAGGGCGATTTCCGAGAAGGTGAAAGTGATGTCGAGAGGGTCGAGGTTGGAAAAGAACCTTATGCGGACGGAGGTAATCGCAATGATTCTGGACAACAATACTTCAGCAGACATCACCATTAAAGGGGCCTGGTGAGTTGTAGGGAGAGGCATACATAAAACCTAGCCCGAAAACAAATGTCAGGGCAACCTTCTTGGGGGTGGGGAGCTGGAGGCCCCAGAGAACTGGCATGGGGAGCAAGATGACGATGATATCAATAGTGAGATCTGTAGATGCTAAAGCGATGTATATCGTGCTGTTATCGCCGCAGTGGCCCGGCGTGTCCGGAAGCCACGCTTTCTCGGGAGGGGTGCAGAAAAATGCATCGCTGAAGAACGCGGCGATCCAGAACGCGATTGCGAGGCCTAAGACAACATATACCATGCGCACGAAGGCTGTCTGGCGGAATATTACAAGGTAAAAGTGTAAGATTGAGGCTTTTATCAAGGTGACGAGGGTGAGCCACATGAGATCTATTGCGTAGACAAGCTACGATTCCCCAGGCCGGTCAGTAAAGTCCTCATATCTGGGTACATTACGAAGAATTCAAGGGACTCAAGGCCCAACCTTTCGAAAGAGAACGACCATATCTGGGCCTCCTATTTCCGCCACTTCGTCAACGTGGAGCCCCAGTCCACATTTCAGGACCAAGGATACTTCGATGGCATAACGCGCACTTAAGATCGTCTGGCACTCTCATGAAAATCAGCTTACTGCGGTAGGTTATTCGGGGACACAAGATACTTTCAGACGTACAAGAGCCGCAATAATGAGTATATCGTTTATTTGGAGCCGTGTCCGCTGCAAATGCCTTGACCATAGCCTCAGACCCACCGTGACGAAGTCCAGGGCGAGGAAGACGGTCTCAACAATGATATCAGCTTTCCCGGGGGTGTTTCGCGGGAGCGCACCTATAAGCGTGCCTACCGGTGCGGCGGGCATGGCGATAGGAGTCGTGATTGTGATGATGGTGATTTATTATTACAGTATTTCGGTCAGTCAGTTGATTATTTAGCCAATAAGTCAGTCTGCAGAGCCCGGACTGTTATTTCCCAAGGACGACGGCATATTTTCTGTGACTTGGCTGCTCGGTGACCCGGAGATACAACAAAAGGGGCAGGATTTGCGAAGAGAAAGAATGAAACGATATCAGATTCAATAGGAATCATTGTTGCTTCGACTGCAACCCACAAGGTTGTTAATGACCATGGGGCATAGAGAAGAGGCCGCACCCCAAGACATATATCATATTACCTGCCTACCTACGTACGTTACAGAAAAGCAATGGGTATTATTCAACACGACATGGCGTCTGAATGTGCAGGAAGAAGGTCTCAGATTGGGGTCGTAGACATCATGCAAAATGATCCTACCGGGTTTCTGGGGGGGGAAAGACGCGGCCAGAACGGAAGTGCGCGTTCTCCCGGGACCAGAGTCGGTCGACGTCGTCGACTCGCAGCGAATATGTGACCCTCGAAGGTGGTGTAACTCCTCACCACCCAATGGCAGGGTCGGTGGTTACTATAGAGTATAATGCTGACATGGTGTGAAGGTGCCGAGAGTTGTTTTTCAGCGTAGGTGTGCCACACCTCCCGTCTTCCCCCGCCTTCATCATACTGCGGGCTTTACGTAGTCTTGGGAGCGCCTCCAATCCACCGTATATTATAGTAGCAAAGTTTCTATATTCTCGTTCTCTTTTTTGTCTATGAATGCTGTTTTCTCAATGGCGACAGATATATGAAACGACTGCGACATGATTGCGGCTTGACTACTCGCTTCGAGAGCCTATTTAGTCATGACCGAATACCGGAATTCTAAGACTTTATTGCCGAACAAGAGAATCGTGCCCAGTATAGGGCCAAGACTATTCAAACAGAATGGTCTTGGCCTTGGTAGATATGATAAGCTTCTGATTCTTTTCACGGATTGCGGCTCTTTCATCATCGATTTCGATAGTGGTGCTTAAGCCAGAGTGAGCGCCACGACGGTGGGTGCGAAACGTATCCACGGTTGCTAGAACAGACAGAAGTCTGTTTATAAGTCGACTTGAATAGTTCACGGCTTAGGTCCTCATCTCCGACTAAACAAGGATGGGAAATCACAAATGAACCCAATAAAGTGCTGAAACTCTTGGTCACTCAATCTGCAGCCCGAACCTAGGATATTACGTGGTATACCCACAACCACCGGCGTGGGACTTCTAAGAGGAGGCGCATTTCTCTTCCTATAGAAACCTCCGGTTGAACATGCTATCGACACCGGTAAGCAGAGATGACGGCTGTGGGATTTGCTACATACTGTCAAAGGACGATTTTATGACTGCCAATAGGCTGGAGATACGGATGGGAGACCAACATGTGGTTCAGTCAAAGCCCCTTTTTGAGCCGTTGTAAGCCAGCTTCTTGAAGACAGCTTGCAAGGGCTGCGTATTTCTGGAGTGGCTAATACGATCAAAAAAGATGCGGGTTTTAGAGACACCGAACTTGACAGTGCCACGAGCTGCCAGCGAAAGAGCCGCTTCGACAATGCAGGTGATTCCTAAGATCTCACAATAAGCGACTCTATGAGTGGGCGGCGTGTAAACTACCGACTTAGTTTTATTAGATATCTTGAATCGGTACCATGCGCTTATGGATAGCACTATTACACGATATAAAGGCTAAGAAAAGCTTCAAAACTAAAGCATATCCTTTGAGAAGTATTGAAGGATTGAAGTGTCGTAGGATTAGGTTACTTTTAACTACTCCCCTAAACCTGAGGAGTTCGTGGTGCTGCTATGATTCAACACAATGAAACCCACCATCAATCATGCAGAGTGATCATATATATAAGTACCTAGTTAAAGATAGCACATATATACTTAACTGGATATTGTATTGATTGGCGTCGATGTGCCGATGTGGAAGTCCGCTAGGTTAGAAGATAGGCACAGTTCAGATTCATAACTATCAACCAGACACTTCGGTTGCTTCCATTACCAGACACCCGGGAACAATTCTAAACACTTTAAAGTTGCCAAGGCGTCTAATGTGGTTTAAATGCATAACTCCACGATATTGATGTTAAAGATCTACTTATTACCTATCTTTCTTCCTGCGCAATACCAGCCAGCTCTGCACGCCACTTTCCGACATGCTACATGTCATTCACCGGTCGACATATGTAACCCCCTATCACACCAATGCCCAGCAACAATAACACATTGGACCTCCAGATGCGGAAATCTTATCCGTGCTCAATACCAAC